TTGGCAGCCTTACATAATCTAGAATTACATCAGATGGATGTAAAGACTGCATTTCTAAATGGTGAACTGGAAGAAGAAGTATACATGCTTCAACCTGAAGGGTGCAGAGTGCACGGACAAGAGGGAAAAGTGTGTAAACTTGTGAAATCATTGTATGGACTCAAACAAGCTCTGAAACAATGGCATGCAAAGTTTGATAGCGTAATGTTGTCAAATGGATTTCGGGTCAACGAGGTTGACAAGTGCATATATGTCAAAGGTAATGAGACAAAATTTGTGATTATCTGTCTTTACGTAGATGATATGATCATTACTGGTAGTGGTGATAAGGTGATTAAAGCTACGAAAACCATATTATCAAATCACTTTGACATGAAAGACTTGGGAATAGCAGATGTAATACTTGGTATGAGAATTATCAAGACACAAGACGGTTATACGTTATCCCAAAGTCATTATATAAAACAAATCTTAGAGAGATTTGACAGAGATGGAAATTCTGAGGCCAGAACTCCAATTGATGGTAATTCTCATGTGAAAAAACATCACGATGAGGGAGTTCAACAATTAGAATATTCCAGAATCATAGGAAGCTTAATGCATCTTATGAATAGTACAAGGCCGGATATTGCTAATACCGTGAATAAGCTTAGCAGATACACGAGCAATCCAAGTTGTGATCATTGGAAGGCCATAATTAGACTCCTTAGATATCTAAGGTATACTGAGAATTATGGACTGCATTATACAAGATATCCAGCAGTATTAGAAGGATATTCTGATGCGAACTGGATATCAGATTCGAATGAGAATAAATCCACAAGTGGATATATATTCGTTGTTGGTGGAGGTGCTATTTCGTGGAAATCCTCTAAGCAAACGTGTATTGCAAGATCCACTATGGAATATGAATTTATAGCTTTAGACCTTGCTGGTGAAGAAGCTGAGTGGCTTCAAAACTTTCTTGAGAATATTCCTATATGGCCTAAACCGGTGTCTGGAATTTGCATACATTGCGATAGTCAGTCTGCAATAGGAAGGGCAAAAAGCCATGTGTATAAGGGAAAGTCGCAACACATCCGCAGACGACATAACTCCGTTAGAAAATTACTAACAGATGGTGTCATATCTATTGATTTTGTGAGATCAAAAGATAATTTGGCTGATCCTCTGACCAAAGGCCTTAACAGAGATCAGGTAGAAATATTATCGAGGGGAATGGGATTAAAGCCCATAGAATGACAAACCACCATGATGGCAACCCAACCTATCTGGACAAACCACCAGTGTTAGGTTCAATGGGACAACCGAATTGTGGGGGGGTCGATGAGATCGCTCGAGACTGATGTCTCTTCACATTCCTATGATAAGAGTGATACAAATTGGGAAGGTTGAGTTTATACTCTTAAAGATTCTCTTATCTCCTACGAGAGTGGAGTATATTGAGATACTCTCAAAGAGAAATCTCCTATATCAAGTATGAAGTGGGCCGCTTCTATGAGAATGACAAAAAAGCTAATTCTCTAGAGTACTTGATGAAATTTACCAGGTGCTGTCCCAGGGCCATAATGGGCGCAACAAATGGACTAACGAGAGAGAGAGAGGGTGTTGCGTGAGTACTATTGTCTTGGTGTATACAAAAGCTGAATAGTTCAAGACATCGCGTTCTTTGTTTAGCAAGTACATCCGATAGTATGTCACTACGGAAGGTTCAAAGGTAAAACTACCTTTTCGGATACAGTAAACTCTCGATGAGCAAATTTTGCATTGCACATCATTTGCATTAGTTGCATGAGATGCATTTAGGTTCACCTAACTCAAGGCCCTATTTTGATTCTTGTGGGGGATTGTTGGATTTTAGTTTATTTGATAGAATCAAAACGGGCCTATCCCGTGAGAAGCCCGGTCCGTATAAATTTAAATCTGCAGAATATTAAGAGAATATTCTTATTTGAATTTGAAATTCAAATTCAAATTGGATTCAAATCCGCAGAAAATCTATCAAATATGATTGAGATAAGATTGAGATAATATCAAAATAAAATCAAATTTGAATTTTGAAATTCAAATTGATTTGTTTTGATATTCTCCCCTCTAATATAAATAGGGGTCTTGGGTTAGCTCATAAAAAACACAGAAAAGAAACAAACATTCTAGAGAAAAAAAGCATTCACATATTTGTTCATATCTCCCTCTGAGTTCGCTTGGTATTTGGAAAGCTTCTTCCAAATACGCGGTCGTTGTATCCTGGGAGTTCACCGTGCTCCAATAGCCTCGAATCTTTTAATTTCAGGTACTTATCTGGAATCGCTCGAATCGCCGGAGTTTTGCCGTCGTCAACAACCGCCGTCCCGGAGGTGCTGGGGAAGGGTGAATTGTAGGTGAATCTTATATTACAGAACATTATAAAAGATGTCGTAACCTCTAAATCACAACGATGACCGCTCAACTGGTGCGTCAAGACTCCCTTCAATTGAACCATAAAATAAGTGAATAAAGATTATAACCATGACCGAATTGTACACCCCTAAGTACCAGCAGCCAGTTTGGCCTCTAAAGTCCAGTGATTGATTGAAACCTCTGCTCGACTCCAATTTCCACTCAGATGTTTTCCCCTTCAAAAGAGTCGTCATTGAATTCAAAACAAGAGCTTCCGTGAGACTTTCTGTGAAAAATATAATTCTCCAATGAGAAAACAGGACAATGGTTAATGCATAAAGAAAACATACGATGAAAAATCTGTTATAGTTGACAATCAACCAATGCCAGATTTGACTTTGACAACCTCATCACATATAAAGGCTGAAAAGACGAAAAAGAAGTTTCATTCGACCGAATAATTTGAAGAGCCATGTTATTAGTATTGCTGTGAGAATGAATACATAATCAAACAACATCTTTCGGTCGAAACTTTCGCCAAAGCTCAAGAACATGCTCTGGATATTTATCGATAAACCTTTTCACGAATATCTCATCCCTTGTCCGAAGGGCACCGGCATAAGTAGCAAAACTAGGGCATAGAAAACCCTTTGAGATCAAAAGGGCAACGACTGAACATCTAGGGACGATCCTCTTCTCCACACTTAAGTGCATGACAAGTGGGTACTTGACAACATCTGAAGAGCTGAAACCAAATGTATTCAAAAGCACATCCATCACCTTGTTTATCTTCTCCTCTGATGTAAACATAATGGAAGGATGCTTCTTGAAAGCCGTGACAAAGTCTTCTTTCGACCAACCCCATTTTCTATAAAGCTCAACTTTCCGATCCCAAATTGATCCACTGATCTGACATATCGCCCTGATAGCAGAGACAACCAAAGGGTTCGAAGGTTTAAACCCCAAATCCATTGCTTTCTTCACAGATTCCTCGAGTTTAGAGGTAGAAGACATACCAAACACACGTGGAGAATTCTCCATTAATTTGGCTATGGAAGAACAGGGGAGACCGGATTCTCTGAGGAAAGAAACTTTAACAGCCAAATTGTTTTGAATGCCAATGCACAAGAGAGCTGACCAACGTCTAATGCTCTTAGCAACTACCTCATCCCGGCCAAGAATAGATTTCATGAACTGGTAGTTTGGCATGAGTTTATTCTCCAAGCTGTATTGTAACATTTTAGGATATGCAGCGACAATCCTCGCAACATCATCATTTGAGCCCAGAATAGACCTAAAAAATGCAAGCTTTTCAGAAAGCGTTTCCTCGTTCCTAGATTTTGTTAAAGTATACTTGTAAACTCTGGTTATTTGGTCCGTCGTGAACCCATACTCACTCAGCAAACAACGGACTTGATGGAGTTTCACTTCATCCTGGTCGTGCCCATTACCAGTTTCCACATCTTCAACGGATGAAAAAGCTCTTACATTCAGAAAACCCAAAACCCGAAAAGCAATACTCGAATATGCAGCGAAATTTTCCGTACCTCCCCGGTGGAGAGAAGAATCAAGAGCCCTTTTCAGGTAAGACAAACCCGCCATGAAAGGGAACTAGAGAATCTAACCTGAGCGCATGAATGCAACCTTTTCGCCGATTCTTCGAGAAAGCTAACCTCAATTTATGAAGAAGAACTCACATGTAAGCACAGATTGAGAAGGAATAATGAATTCTCAGTAACTGACCATTCCATTGCTTGACAAGTTCAGAATATCAGAAGCTATTTAGGGTTTCTCCTGGGTCGTAAAGATTTCTTGGATAGACAAGAGCAAAGCATGCTCTCACCGTTCAAAAAGCGTGGGTAGGGGCATTCGGCTAAAGGTCCGGTTTCCGGATTATCAAAAAAAAAAAAACCGATTAATATGAACCAATTCTCAAATGTCAGTTTTACCCCTAATAAAAGAAAAAGACATTATCATCTGGAAAAGACACTTTGTAAAATGTAGATCTGGCAACGTTTGCCGGATGCCATTTTACATTTGCTTTTATCGTATTTTTTTTTTCTCTTGAGCTCTTTTGTTTTCTTATTCATATATTACTTAGATATATTCTTTTGTTTTCTTATTCATATATTACTTAGATATATTGCTTAGAGATGACGAACGGTTCGATTTGGGTTAATAGATTAACAATTAATTTGAGTTTAATTAATTTGAGTTTTAAAAATTATAACCAAATGGTCATTTAATTTTATTCGATTTGTTTGATTTGGTTCCAATTCTGTTAATTAAAATTATAACCAAATTATAACAAAAAAATTAGCTTGATAAATAACAAAGTCATCATCTAGACAAAATAAAACAACAAAAGAAATAGAAATTTCTATCTTGTTCATACAAGAATAAAATTAAAAAAACTCCACCCAACAAAATCGTTTCGAAATCAAATCTCCATTTTACAAATTTTGAAAACAATAAATAATGTAATGTACACTACAAAAAAACATATGATACCGTAATAAAAAAATATGTCGTAAATATAAAGAAAATTCGTCGTAATTAAAACGTTTCTTTATTATAAACACATTCTTCAATCCATTGTCAAAGCTTAACTCTATATACAGCGTAGATGAACTCATCAAGTGTCACCTAGTTTGCTTTATTATAAATACATATTGTCTTCTTTTAATATGCACCCTATCTATTTAAATAATCCATCATTTTTTTTTTCTAAATATCTTGGTACCGAACAAAAATAGATCCGGCAACGTTGTGTTTTTTAACAATCTCTGCCATAGAGAAACATAACATTGGATTATTCAGAAGCAATTTCCATTTCATATATTTTTATTAGAAGGTTCCTTTGAATTAGATGTTTTTTTTTATAATCTGAAAATTAATCAAACCTTTTACCTGATTACATCTTCCAGAAAACCGAAAAAACTTGAATTCATATGAATATATCTCCCCAATTAAAAACTTGAAACCGGGTTAGAAAGGAACTTTGCTCCTTTCTCTCGAATTAGATATTAGATATTAGTTTTGAATTGCTATATAGATGGTTGAGTTTTTCTTCTTCCTTTTGTTTGCAAACACAAAACCGTCTAAAGTAATATCAACGTTTTCCGAAAGTCAACCTACCGTAAAAGTTTTGTTGATGCAAAAAGAAAATAATCTTTTGATTTGAAAGTTGCCCTTTCAAAAACAAAGACAAGTTCTTCTTAGATCCGATGTTTGGTTGCATTTCACAAAACTTACTAATAATCTAGAGAAAAAAAATCATGCAAATAAAATTATACATTTTAGATTTAGACCTTCCATGATTTGCTAATAATATAGATTTCTATGACAAATGTAAAGTAAAATATTATTTTTTTTGAATAATTTAGACCTTCCATGATTTTCTTAGTAAAACTAATAGTTGTGAAATGTTTTTAGTAAATTATATAATTGATTTTTTTTCTTAAAAGTAATAGTTGATGAGTTTTAATCATAAATTTAAATAAAAGTTTTATTTTTTATATATAAGTAAGATAGTTGATAGTTTCAGTTTCAGTTTGAGTTTGAGTTTATCCATTTTCAATTTTATTTGAAATGTCATAATACGTGGTGACTTGCATTTCAAATACCTAGCCAGCTTAGTTTCGACAGATTCTCTTAGAAATTCAACGCCGTCAAATGGCGTAGAGTTTATATGGAAAAAATTTGAAAGTTATGAGTATTATTATAGGATCACAAATGTTTTTGCGTATTTCTTTGCGATTTGCTTTTAATTGGAAAACAATTCAAAATTTCGATTAGATTCTTTCCATAAATGGAAAAACAAAAATAAGGATTTATTTGAAAATATAAAGCAAATTGAAATTTATTTAGAAATAAAAACAATTGTAGATTTTATTTCTTAATTTACAATAGTTGAATATGTATTTAGATATTCGAAAAAATAATTCTGTTTTGGGATTCTAAAAAATCAATTAAATAAAACACTTTCTTCTTATAAAGAGTAAAAAAGAAAGAAAAAAAGTTGTCTACCCCAACGTTTTAAATAATCCATCACCATTTTTTTTATATCATTTTAGATTCATGTGTATTTGTTGTTATTTAACTACTACAAAGTGACACTATTTTCCAATACGACCTGAAAGGTCTAATGGTAAAAAATATGTAAATATATTCTTATTTCGGATTCAAGTATAATCGTTAGTAAGAGTGTTTAGATAAATAAAATTTATCCCTAATAACAGTTGGTTTCGGATATAGGGAAACTAGTTGGGTCGAAGATTCGATAAATTTCCTAGTTATAAAAAAAATTTCAATGTGTATATTTTTTTTTGTTGAATGTGAATGTATTATAGATATGTATATTATGGTGTCGTCGACAATATTTTATTTCCAATTTGAAGAATATTATATTAGAAATAATTTATCAACGACCTATATAATTTTGGGTTTGAATTTTAATATTAGTTTGAATATGAACGTGAGTTAATTAAATTTGAAAGTCCATTGATATTAATAGTAATTTATCTCTTTTTACCCTATAAATATAGGTTATTGATTTATATTTTTCATCCATTAGAAAAATTCGCGAAAACTATACTAAACCAAACAAAATCAAGATCGAATTACACGTTCGGATGACCAAACAAAAACAAAGATATACGTGTTTCGAATGACCAATGTCTTCAAACCTTGACGATTTTACTAGAACCTCGAAGATTTTTAAAATTGTTCCACGTTTCTTGGAGAAAACAATAAACAAATGAAGGAGAATAAACTGACAATCGGAACGTTACAGAAAACCGACCCCCTAAACGAACTTAAACAGCCAGTTGAATTCTGGTGTGATTTCAGTCATATTTGAGTAACTTCGGTTTGTTTTGGTTCAACTCATACGATGAACAAATATTACTGTTTTGCCAGCGAACTTTTGTCTCGACCACAGTATTTCCCAAGACTGATTCTCTCACGATCCGAGACCTTTGAAGACCATCCCCATCAGCCAGAGGTTTATACCTCAAAAACACTTCACAGACCTGCAAAGGGTTTTCAACAAATGGCTATATCCATGACACAGAGCGTGTGACAAGGATCAAAACTAATGTCTTTACGTCGAGGTTTTAGCCAAAGGTCAAGAGCTTGACATTCACGAACGAACCTTTCCATGAAACCTCTTCTGCTATAGTCGAAAATGCAAATGGCTCCATAGGACCGAAGCCAAGCGAACTTACAACCATTCCGCCAATAAAACCAAGAGAATATAACCTGCAAGGAACAGTGGATACAAAATATACAGTCTTACACATTTTAAACCTTGTAATATTGATGGAAAGGTTTTCTTCTGTTCATTAAAATGTTTGGCAGTAACATAAACACTCCAAAGAAAACATATGACAGAAACATCTGTTTCAGATGACAACCATTGTCCAACTGGATTTGACAATCTGATCACATATAAAGTAATAGAATGATTAAAGGCTGCAAAGACCAAATAGAATGCCTAAATCAAACAACAGCTTTTCGTCGAACCTTTTGCCAAAGCTCAAGAACATGCTCTGGATATTTATCAACAAACCTTTCAACGAAAATCTCCTCCCTTGCGCAAAGGGCTTTTGCATAAGTAGAAGGGCTATCATCTAGAAAGCCCTTTGAGACCAAAAGGGCAATGACTGAACATCTAGGCACGATTCTCTCTTCCACACTTAAGAGCATGAGATACGAGTACTTGACAATATCTGAAGATCTGAAACCGAATATGTTCAGAAACACGTCCATCCCTTTGTTTATCTTCTCCTCTGATATACACATAATGAAAGGATGCTTCTTGAAAGCCGAGAGAAAGTCATCATTTGACCATCCCCATTTCCTGTACAGCTCAACCTTCCGATCCCATATTGATCCATTGATCTGACATATCGCCCTGATAGCAGAGACAAACACAGGGTTCGAAGGATCAAACCCCAAATTCATTGCTTTCTTCACAGATTCCTCGAGTTTAGAAAAAGAAGACATGGCAAGCACACGTGGAGAATGCTCCATTAATTTGGCGATGGAAGAACAGGGGAGACCAGATTCTCTGAGGAAAGAAACTTTAACAGCCAAATTCTTTTGAACATCCATGTACAAGAGAGATGACGATCGTCTAATGCTTTTAGCAACTAACTCATCCCGGCCAAGAATAGATTTCACGAACTGGTAGTTAGGCATGAGTTTATTCTCCAAACTATAGCATAACATTTGAGGATTTGCTGCGACAACCCTCGCAACATCATCATTTGGACCAAGAATAGACCTAAAAAATGCAAGCTTTGGTGAAAGTGTCTCCGCAGTTCTAAATTTTGATGGAGAATACTTGTAAACTCTGGTTATTTGGTCAGTCGTGAATCCATACTCACTCAGCAAACAACGGACTTTATGGAGTTTCACTTCATCCTGGGTTTGCCAATTACCAGTTTCGACAACTTCAACAGATGAAAAAGCCCTTACATTCAGAAAGCCAAAACCCCGAAACGCAATATCCGAATCAGCAGCCAAATTTCCCGTCCCTCCTCGATGGAGAGAAGAACCAAGAACCCTTTTCAGGTTAGATAAACCCGCCATGAACGAGAATTAGGGAACCAAAATCTGAGCGATAAGATTTGACCTTTTCGTCGATTCTTCGAGAAGCTTACCTCGATTTATGAAGAAGAAATCACACAAGCACGGATACAGAAGGTAGTACGAGTTCTCAGGGACTGCATTCCATTTCTTCACAACGACAAGTTCAGACTATCAGTAGCAATTTAGGGTTTTCCCCAGCGGTAGCGGCAAGGGAGATTCGACCTTGGAGTGCAAAACAGCTTGGGCATTCTCGCGTTGCTGCTGTGAGGGGAATCAAACACCGAAACGATAGCGTTTTAGCATACGATGCGGCTTCTAAATCAGCTCGTCCATAACATGATTTGTTTGTTTCTTCTCTAATTCTCATTTGAGTGCCCACAGGAAAATACACGATTAATGGTTTTTGTAATCTCTTTCGGTACTTGCCAGTTAATATAGATAAAATACTATTAAGAATATCCAACCAGAACCATGAAAACACATCATCGTTTTTTTTAAAAAATATGCCACGAAAAAAACTTTATAAATTTAATAAATAAATATATAAACTTTTAATTTTGTATAAAACATACAAATTTTAAATAAGGACAAACTAAAAAAAACCCTCCAAATTTTCTACTTACACCAAAAAAAATTTCTACTTAAAATTCATCATACAAAACTATCAACTATTAATTTTGATCATAAAAGACCATTAACTACATAAAATTTTTTAAAGTAATTTTTCACTTTAAATTTATTATAAAAAATAAATTATTAAGTTTTATAAAAAATTAATCATCTATCTACAAAATATTTTGTTTTAAAATTTATTATAAAAATTTATAAAATTTCAAGAAAAAATATATATAGATTATATAATTCAAAAAATCACAAAAACATAATATTTATTTAAATTTGTTACATAATATTTAAAATTTATATAAATATTTATAAATATCAATCTTTATATATGACAATCTATTCCCGAAATTATTAGATAAAACTAAGAATTCGTGATCGAGTCGAACTTAAAGCTCAACAATGGGTAAACACAATTCAATTGAACTATAGAGTTCATGGAGATGATGATTTTAGGTACAAACCGTATATATTTATAAATAAATTCCAGAAAATGAGATACTAATTTATTTTATAAAGTTTAAATGATAGTAACCTAACACACGAATTATTGCTAAGGAGATAAAGGCATAAACATATAATTATATATTTAATTATACATATATTGATAAATATAAATATATGTATATTATGTCAAGTGGTGCATCAATTCTAAATATTTTTTTTCAAAAAAAATAATGGCATAACACTAATCTAGGCTATAAAAGTCGACACCTATACGGACACACTAATTGGACATATAATAAAAAGAATAATTAACCCCCAAAACAATGCTAACGACAATTGAATAAAAATCTTTCGACCACCTTTTCGTCTTCTCTTCGAACGAAAGCTTAAAAACAAATTTTGCAATTTATCACTTCTCATCATGTCGTTCCATCAACGATCCGAAAAGCCTCTCTTTCGCGGCTAGAGTAAGTATCTATCTCTTCAATTTCTTCATAACATCTTTCTATATACATATATTTCTTTTGACATGTGATAAACTTTCTCTAAAATTGAAAATTTCTTCAGAAAATTTTAAACCTTTAAGGAATCGACATAACCTTCTAAAGTGATATTGGTTCTTTTCAATTTCTAAGACGAACTTAAAGTCGAATCCATATTTTATACATTTCATTATCGAATAAAAAAACGATTTCTTCCACTCGGTTTTCTATTCTAGTTTAATCCTTAGGATCATCTAGATAAAGAGAAATTTGAAACTAACCTTCTGTTTTCAATAAATTCCAAAATCCATAAGTCAATATGAATAAATCCTCATTTTTAGACTAGATAATCATGAGTTGATCATATGAAAACGTGTCATTAGGTGGTAAATAACTGGAAGTGGAGGAAATAACATCGAAGTTTTAAGTATAAAAGTTTCAAGGTGAGTGAATTTGGATGTAATTTGAAAATTCTATTTTTATTGTCTTTGGAGTTTGTGTGATAGTGTGCAAAATTGTTGATTGATTCATGTTACTGTAGTGTTTGTAAATGTTTTATGCATTGTTCATAAAATTTGGTGTTGATACGATTGAATTAGTGAATCTATGTGTTTGGACTGGAGTTGTAGAAAAAGAAATGCAAATATTTGAAGAAGATAATAACTAAAATTTGGACCGACATTCTGTTTCCAGACCAAGTAAAAAAATTATTAATATTTTAAAATAAATAAATAAATAAAACCAAAAAAATAGACGGTCTAGAAATTGGATCGATCCAGTTTGACAAAAAAAAAAAAGAAAAGAAAGAAAAAAAAATAAAAAATAAAGAAAAAGAAAAATAAATAAATAAATAATTGAACGAACGATCCAGAAATTAGACCGACTTGGTCTAACTCTAAAACCAAAATTTGACCAAAATATAACTAAACTCGGTTCGAACTGGACCATACGTAGTTCGAACCATATGATATGACCGGGTAAGTACCAATCTCGGGACGAGCCAAACTGGTAACCCGAACGGGTCGAAACCTATTTTGATCGGACCGATGATTTAAAAAATTAAATAAATCATAACAATAAGTAAAATAAATAAGAACAAATTTAAATGAAATTATGCTTGACCGTGTATACGGTAAGTAATAAGTATGACCGCTTGTGATTGGAAAATCTTGTTAGGATAGATGGCATAACATTGACATTACTCGAATGGGTTCGGGTATTGTTCAGTGTGTGATTGTAGACGGATTTTTGAGTGATATCACGATGATTGCCTTGACTGTAAATCTTTGCGGTATGATATTTGATCTGGATCGATTATCATCTTGTGGAGACATGATTGTGATTGTGGCGGTCTTCGATAGCGCCATCGTTCCCTGACAGACGGTTATGGCATCCTACGACTCATGTATTCGGGTTTACGTGTGTCATCCGAATGTGTGACAAGGAAAAACGGTTCTTTGGCAACCGCGTCAATGTTCCATTGGCCACGGAATGGACTTCGGGTTTGCGTGTGTCACCCGTTGATTGACAAATAAATCTGAGACCCGGGTAGTTGCATTTATCCCTCGGTGAGGTGGTACAGATATACTCTGAAAGACTTGAGCTCGAGTCTGGTGAGTATTTTTCGAGGCGGATGGTCGGTGAGGGGGAGTTAGCGTAGAGCCGCTTCACCAGGCAGTCGGCAGCATCGGGGATCGATGTCTAGAGTGGATATGGTGATGATCGGTACCGAGAACCGTGATATCGGTGACCGATGAGGAGTATGAAGATCACTTGAGGTCCTCGCAAACAATTTTACTTGGACTGTTGTGCCTCATATTCGACACAAACATGAATGAGTTGTTGTAATTACCTATGTGACAGTCCAGAATACCGTAGGAGGGCGGAGAGTGATCGCTGGTGCGAGAGACATGGACAAGGGGCGGCTCCTGACGAGCTTCTAGGTAGGGGGTACATGAATGAATCGAACGCACTGGAATGAGAGAGATCCGAGGGTTGGGTAGGTATGAGACTACACAGTCTAAGATAACTTAAAGGAATTAATTGAACTACTCATAGTAACAAGATGCATCTACCTTTTCGGTTTTCCATCTCGAGAGAACTCCAAAGTTAAGCGTGCTAGCCTTAGAGTAGTCTTAGGATAGATGACCTCCTGGGAAGTACTTTCCGGGATGTGTTTGAGTGAGGACAAAAACACGCTAAAAGGTCCCGTATTGGTGTGTGGAGAGAGCTCTATCATTCCGCAGTGATCTAGGGTCGTTACAACCTACGTCTGAGATACAAGTAGAGACGATTGACAAATTTTGTTTGAGGTTGCTGAGTGATTCAACGATGATTGATTTGATTGATATATCACGTCGCATGTATATATATAGTATTGACTATATTGTTCGGCCGTTTTCAATAAAAATAGAAATCTTGGGTTACACCCGAATTCCTCCCTAAGCACGTAGCTCAGGACGTTGTTACGCAAACGTTTCATGTCGTGAGCAATAGTGGTGGCTGAGGCAGATGCCGGACCCAGTGACAGCTCGATTTCTAGATTATGTATAAATAATTATCTTTAACATATTTCACTTTTAAAAAAATAATAATAAAGAGTAGTGAACTTTGGACTTTGTACTATAGTTTTCGCACAACTCGTATTATGTACTGATATCTTTGCGTACATATGTAAACACTCATGTATTTTATAATGTCTTTGCTGTATTATATTTAAAATGAAAGGTTTTCAATTTTTTTACGATGTTATATTTCAAAATTTCACGGTTGTGATTTTTTCCATGTGGCACGTCCTGTATGCAGGATGCGGGATGCGGGTGTCACAATTTGGTATCAGAGCAGTTCTTTCCTCCGGAAAAAATATGCATAAACTTGATACCGGTAAAATGTTTTCAAAACATTTTGGAACACATGTTTTTAAAAGAATTTCAAAATAATTTTCGATGAACAATATTTTAAAATTTTAATAAATGATCTGGAAGACACCGGAACTAAGTATCCTTCAATGTCTACAATTAACGTGTCTCCAAGACGTGCCCTACTCGTGCTGAGATTCGAGGCAGCGAAAGAGCTTGTCCTTAATCATGTGCTAGAGAAATTCTAGACTCACATGTCATGTCAAAAAACAGGAGAGCCTACAGCTAGACTGGTGTTGTTTCACCACCAACTCCATCAGGTTCTCTGAGGTTTACCGCACGAGTAGTTGTGGACTACCTTTCATTGATAAGAAAATTTTGAGCCATGAATACCTCGAGGTTCAAGGGTTCTCATATCCTTGAGATTGCTAAGGTCTGGTTGGTGCGAATTGCGAAAGACTTCAACTACATACAATGGTCGTTGCAGTATCGAATATAGATAACGAGCCACCAATGGTGGGATCGATTATTATAAGGTACTATTATTGGACATCAGTTCAAAGGAGATGAGTTTCGAGATTAGTTCAAGAAGAAGCACTACAACTGGCAAGACTAAGAATATTGGATCGTGAAGTTCATTAATCTCCGATAGGGAAATCGTTCTGTTGGCAACTACAAGGCAAAGTTACTAGACTTCCACGAAAAGGGGCACATCTGGTGTCTATCGAAGCTCTACAAATCCATAAATTTATTGTCGGGTTACGACTGTACTTGCGCTGCAAGATCGAGACAAATGAGTATCCTACCTTGAGTCATCAAAGTATAGCACAATGAAAAGGAAAAGAGGGAAATGAGGAACAAGGACAAGAGCCATTATAGAAGATTTTTATGTACTAGACTAGCTGTGAGAATTGGACTGTCAAACTATAGTTATGACAAAGGAAAATACCAATGACAC